GTTTCCCAACTTATGAATTTTTAATGTCACCAAGAGTTCCTGGGTAACCAAGCACTTCAAGAAGATGCGACATCCAGGTGTGTTGCCCTTGTGAAGGGTGCATATATTTGTTTGTTTATTTATTTATTTATTACAACGAAACACCCCAGGTAACTGGGTCATTAAGTTTTAAGGATAAGACAGTGTCAACATAAATACAGTGCTAGATGCGTAAGATATTGGGTTAAAAATATCGATAATCCTCGCGTTGCTTATCAATAAAATGCCTCTCCTGTTTTTTAAAAAGATACTGGTATTTTGATGCATTACCGGGAACAGTAAGTTCACACAGTTGGAAGGTCATTCATCATTCATCACCTAAATAAATAACTTGACTGAACATGTCTCGTGTAGCTCTGCAATAGCTACGCATCGCATTTAGCAACACGTTATGATATATGTTAATGCAAATGGGAGGTAGTTTATCTCTCTCCTTTTTCACTCACACTTTTTCCCAGGTGTTTCCCTCCCCGTGTCGCAGTTCTGCTGAGCTCCTAGTCAGATAAGGCACTCCTACATACACATGTCTGGATGCAGCATATGTATGTATACCAAGTTAGAAATTTGGCTAATACCGGGTAGACAATTTTGCAGCAGAGTAAATGAAATGTCGTCTGTAGTAATATTTCGAGCTGCTCACCTCCAGTGATTTAAGAAGGAAGGAGAAAGTGGAGCCATTTATAGCATAAAATTCCCCGTCTCTCTCCTGCATAGACTAACCACACAAGAAGTCTGTGCTGCTGCTCTTCTTCGTCCCGGTGACTTTGCCTGGTCAGGTTTTGGATGTTGCAGGGTTACTTGGACGGGAGAAAGTAGGTGGTAGGCAGCCGATGGTGGTGGTGGAAGTGGCTTACAAGTAGATTTACCTCCAGCTTTAACGCTCCGTTGCCGTCTTCCCGTACTTGGTGTGACACGATGAATAAAATATTTCCTTGCCAGCTTTCACCTCAACTCCTCACTTCTCACCTTGGGGACTCGAAATATTCTTGTACTTCAATGACGAGGAAAGTGACTTCACCAAATTCAAAGCACATTCCCCATTACATAATATCATTACATGAATGCTCTACTGCATGTCGAATCCTCAACCGAGTCCTGTATTGGGAGAATTGGCAGTTGTGAAGCCTCCAGGCTGAGGTGAAAAAGTTGATGGGAAAGTTGTTAACATTTTCCCATACGAAACCTCGTCGTGTATGTGCACACATAAGGTGGGAATACATTCGAGGGAGGAAGGAAACTCTTAAATTTTTATATCGGCACTGGCCACGGGTTCGAAGTAACTTGATTTCTTCAAAAGTGAGGACGATGAATCTGAGCGGTTAAACTGGCAAGAGGCACTTTCGCAAAGGCAGGTGAATGCATTTCTCTACCCGCTATGGCCCAGTGTCAGAAATCTTCCTACCTCCATTCTCGCTGCAATGTATCGATTCAATAACCGTGAATGAGCCGTGAATGAACAATGTCTCAATGTTTCTCAAGAGAGATACAGCAGATGTCTGACGAAAATAGGCTCTCAGCTAAAGTTTCGGTTTTCCTCTGCAGTTTGTGGTGCAGTTTGCATGTTCCTTTCGTTTAGAAATAGGAGATGTGTGTGTAGCTTATGGAGAGAAATTTGGATTTGGGATTCAACACCTCCTTGTTGAAGGCCACGAAGTTACAACTTTTTTTGTCTTTGTTACTATAAATGGTTCTGAAAAGTTTGAATGGATGGAACTATTGAGGGTGCTGAGGATGGGACAGAAATGTGTGGTGAAGTGAGACACGATGCACCACTTGATCATCATTGATTGTCAAAGGTATTTATTTATAAGCTCAATTAAATTTGAAATAAATGGGTTTCTCATGTTCACTTAAAATTTGGTAAAAAGTCAGCCTCTTTTTTTATATTCCCATCCATTTCGTGTAGTGTTCTTTCATGGAAATTTATTAACGCTTTTGCCTCTCTCTCTCTCTCTTCGGGAGAGGTTTCTAGAGGCAAAAAGGGAGAAAGGCGTGTAGTGGAAGCAGTAGTTGTAGCAATAAACTGGTTCTGCTACCACTGTTCTTTAAGGACTAGAATTCCATGTAGGTCATCAATTTACAAAATAAATTTTACTCCTTTACCCTTTGATAAGCTGTAGGGTTAAGTTTAGACATTATTATGGGGAAATGGGGACCCCTCACTATTTGCACGCCCTTGGTTGGCTGGTTGTGATTCCAGTTCACATTTTATTTTATTTCATCCTCCTCGAGACTCAGACTTTTGACTATTCTCCTTATTATTATCATTCACTGACAGCCTATTTGCATAGAAAATTGTGGGCAGAATGTTCAATGTTCATGTAAATTGAGGAATAAAGTAGAATAAAATACACCAAAATTTCTCTAATGTAAAATAAAAGTATAGACCGCAGTGCAAATCCGTGTTCGTAACGTTACGCTAGCACAGAGGCCCAAAAAAGACAGCATCTTCTTCATTGGATAGGCGTCTTTTTCTTATCATGCTGCTTTCTTTCCGCATACTGGATTATTAAGTATATTGCGTGCGATTTCTGTGCATCGTGAACGTTTCTTTAGTTTCTTCGAGCTTCCTCTTGGTCATTCCCAATAGGGCAACAATTTATAGATGAGCAAAAAAGGAACCAGATTCATGCTAAAAAGTCGGAAAATACTGTCACACATTACTCTACTTTTTTGCAATCATCAATTCCTAACTGTGGATGTGGATCTGACTTTGGCATTTTTCTCTTCCTCCTTACAACAACATATTGCTGTTTCACAGAAAATTTTCTCTAAAAACTATACGTAACATGTTGTTGTGGTTGTTGTTCGAATTCGTCAAGTTTGTTCAAAGTTAAAACCAACCCAAACCCACGGAAAGAACCGCATGGAAAGTATACACAGAAAATGTAATAAAAACTAAAAGATTCCAACGAATCTTCTCCTTCAGCTCTCAGCCTAAGAATATGTATTGGATCGTAAAAGAGAAAGTTTGTGATAACCTTGAAATTAGGAACGGTACACTTCACAAAGCAACTTTTTAAATGGAAGGCTAAGATATTCGCTTCTGCATGAGGAACGAGCATCCTTTTCACCTACATTCTTACATATTGGATCCTATTCTACCGCATTTTTCTTCGAGCAGAAAGTCGGTTGGGTGAGGTATAGCCAAATTGTAAACTCATTGACCCATTGCTAGCGGTAGTAAAAAGTTTTTGAGGAGGGGATAAACCAAGTTATAATTATTTCAGATTTTCTCTCCCTCTCACCATCGTCGCCCATTCAGGCGTCTCACTCCTCGGTAAGCTCAGGTGCACTATTCGCCACCGTCACCGAAGTTTGACCAACTTTCTCTTTTACTTTTAACTCATTCCATTGCTACAAAGGAGACTTGCAAAACGTGGGGTTATACATGTAATATTTTTGCAAATCTACCAATGGAAACAAAAGTTTGCAAGATGTCTGCGAATTTATGGCCTCATTTGCTATCTTCTACGGAAAATGGATTAAAGCTCTTGCTTGTCATATGCTTTGGACACAAATAATGTGGTGGTTGCATTTCCCGCATTGACATTGTGAAACTACGAGTCTGCTCACAATGGAACTTGGTATGACTGAGTAATGTTATGCACACTCCTTTAGAAAATTAGTGCAAATTCGGTCCGGGCTCAGAAAACTGCCGATGTTGCAGATTTTCCACCCAGCTCGAATTCAAGTAAGCGGAGCCTAAGTTAGTTTTCTTGCGGACGTGGATGGAAAGAAATAGGACGACGACGAAGACGACGAAGACGACGACGGTAGGGGTGAGTTTGTTCTTGAGACCCAGTTCTGTACTTCTTGTGTCGGGAGGAGGAGGAGGACGTCGTAGTAAAAGTTTGGAAATAAGTTGAGGAATCCTCATCATCCTCCCTTGACGACCATCATGCTAATGAATGAATGCAAAGCATTGCAACGAAACCGTATGCGTCGCCCAACTTAACCAGTCTTTATTCTATAATCGGTCCCAGATGGGACAATTATCGAGCAGAGTTTTAATACTGCCACCGGTTCATATGCAAATCAATCCGTTAATCACAACTATTTTTAATAGTCCGTCTCTCCGGCCTGAAGCGTTTTGGGAACATTTCCTTTTTAATTACCGAAATAGCCATTGCTCAATTCATAAAAATGGCCATTATTTTCTCTGTAATAAAGTTGATAAGCTGAATGGTTGAATACGACGTCATATAGTTGATTGGGATGCACACCGCTTTTAAAAAGAGAGCAGTTTGCTTTGCACAACTCCTAAAAGCGATTCATTTTTATTACCTCGTGACTCAAATTTTCCTGGGGACAATGCTCCTGGGCGTAGGTGGACTTTTCACGTAATTTGAATAGTGGCATATTACGTAATTTATTAGATGCATATTTCTGTTCATGAAAGTATGCATGATGAAAATGCTTACTCGCATGTGTGTCCATAAGAGAGTTTTCAAAATGGTCAATTTTATAGAGTGACACATCAAGCAAATTAAATTAAGCCTGCTCAGTTTGACAATTAGTACGAATAAAAATGGAAAATAGAGCGCTTTCTCCCAAAAAGCGTGCAATTTCTCAGACATTTCTTTCTCTTTACCCCAAAAAGACTTACATTATCGTTATTTTTCTAACATGAAACTCTACGAATGGGTGAGTTTAGCAGGAGGAGGTTGCAAGATTCCAGAAATGTTTGCTAGTCCTTGTTGCAAAATATTTAGTCTACTTTTTTAGCCTTGATGGGCAGTGGAGGAGGAGGAGATGTGAATGGGCGTCCTCAAAAAGTGTCCAAGTTCAACATGTCATGAAATGATTAGAGTGGAACAAGTTCTGAGCGTGTGTTCCACCCAGGAAGAAATATATAAATGGGCCGAGATGGAACTCTAATAATAATATGATCCACACCGTCGCAACGTGGTGGTGCATGTGATGGAGGAAAGAAGACATTTGAAAATTTGAATTCGAACCTGGGAGGCATAGAAGCAAGATGGCGAGGACACTTTTCTCCATTTTATCCTCAGATTCAAAAGCCATTTGGTTTCCCCAAGATTATCTAAATGGCTTTTTCTCAGCTTAACTTCGGGTTACTTTTCCCTCACGCTCTGGAGATTGCAGATAAGGATGGGAGGACGTTAACCAACTCTCCTGTTGCACTAATAGTTTAATAGCTTCGGGTTATGGTTATGGCAATAGGCTGACTTCACTACTGCTCTCGATTCCCAGTTTAGAATCTGGCCAACAAGAAGCAGAAGCAGCAGTCGAGGAGTTGCTTGTTCTTCCAAAGAGAGTAGCAGTAGTTGTAGTGGTAGTTAATTCCCCCTGAATTATTTCGTACGTTCTGATGAAGCCGTGGTGGTGATGGTGGTTGTGCGACGTGGAGAAAGTTGGACACCACGCTTGTCCTGGGTTAAAGGTGTTGGAGTAGTGATCTGAAATAGGAAGACAGAAAATAGCATTAATACTCCGTTAACGTCCGTGCATAATAAACTAATAAGACGTTCCCAAATATTAAATGGCACTTTTGACACAGTTACCACATTTCGTAATTACAGTTTGGCAAAGTTTTCATTTTCATATCCAGATGGGTTATAGCGAAATGGAGCGAAATTGCTCAAGGAGAGCTCAAGCCTAGTGAAAATAGAGGCAAGTAATAACAAAGTAGTTTTTGTGTAATATGTTGTAATGCTTGTATAATAATTCCAGACTTTGAGTTAAGCTGGCGAAATAGTTAGTTTTTAGTTGTTCGATATTTAATTCCATTTCCTGAAGACTGAGAAATAAATGCATAAGCCAAGCCCGTAGCAGCAGCAGGTATGCTCTGCATGCTGATAAGAGTTGCCCTTTTTGCTAAGAGAGCGCGAGAGAATTATACTAATGGTTTACTTGCAAGAACCTCAATATTCAGGAATATTATTAAAAGCTTTCTCCACATTCTAGTTGATGTACAGTATGTAACTTATTTAATGCTACGATTTTTAATTTCAAATTCAACTTCAATTTTCTCGAGAACAGGCTGATATTTCAAAATTGTTTTCACACCAATTATTCACCATATATTGGACTACATTGATGCAAATTTTCAAAGTAATGGAGATAAAACTGTTAAATCGGCAAATATTTTAATATCAAAATATTGCGAATTGCACGTTACATAATTAATGCTACGGGGGTATTAGCGGTTCAATATTTCGTCAGACCCCAATAACTGATTGAAATCGTTTGGTAATCTAATCCACAAACCCTTCGGTTACGCTACGGTCGATGTTTGTTAACTTTTCTGTGATGACGGGTGTGCCGGGGAGCCGTGCTTGTCAGTTTTAATGTTGTCACCAGACGCTGCAGAATTTTTGGGTTATGATCGATCGAGTTGAGGTCAAGAAATTTGAAATTCAGTCCAAAACCTTTGTATCATTGTCCTTGATGCATTTTGAGATGATTTTTGTAATATTTGTCTAATATGCGACGTTTCTGAAAATAAATCTCTGACCAAAGTCTGTCTTTGTTGAGAATTGGCCAATATTTATTTGTAACAAATCAAGGTAAACCTCTTTGGTCATGATCCCAGCGACGCACGTCAATGTTACTACACTGAGGCAACATAAACTGCCCCAAAACTTTATCTCCCTGCAAGATTTCGAAAGTTTCACATCAGGATTTGGCGGTACAAATAGCCCTGATTTCCTTATCTCTGCTATGTTTAATAGCTTGTCTCAGAAATCAATTTCTTAAGACTTATTTGGGCTCCTTCCGCACTCTTATCGTTCCATCTGAGCTAAAAAGTTGAATTAGGGTCTAATCTGAGAACAAAAATTGTTTCCGGTAGCCATGGGATCATCTTCTCTTTACATTTCCCACGCAAAGCGTTTCTTGTGATTATTCGCTAAGGTGTATTGTGTGGAATTTGGAATTTCCCCAGATATTCCTGCGAATACCAGCCTGTGTCTAATCATTCATAGTTGTACAGCAGTAAAACGGTCACTTTGAACATCTTTCGCAATTTCTGGCGCGGACAGACAAGCATCATTGTCACTGTTTTTACAATCGTCGCGTGCGGGTGTGGTGTTTTACCGGGTTTACGACCCTGACGGTTACAATTCGCTACAGGTCCTGTAGTTTCCGTTTCTCCGGTGAGCCTTGGAACAGATCCTGCGTGTATTTTAAATTGTATCCAAAGTTTCCTTAAAGTTAGGCGTTATTAATGGAGGGAGGTCACTTTCCCAATACTTTGATATTGAGAACGGTGTCCTTTGTTATTTATTTATTTTAATTCGGCAGATTATTTTCATTTGTAGCAGAAATACTACAGAATTGTTTATCCGTTCGAAATTCTGCTCTGTATTTAGGAAAGACTGCAAATTTGTACCGGATGTGTATCGTAGCATTAATTATGTAACGTGCCATTCGCAATATTTTGACATTAAAATATTTGTGTATTCTACAGTTTTATCTCCATCCCTCTGAAAATTGGCCTCAATGTAGTCCAATATATGGTGAAGAATTGGTATGAAAACAATTTTGAAATATCAACCTGTTCTTGGGAAAATTGAAGTTGAATTTGAAATTAAAAATCGTAGCATTAAATAAGTTACATACTGTATGTACACTAGGGGACAATATTGAGTAAATTGGAAGAATGATTTCATTCAAACATGGAAATCTCAAAAACTATAGTATGGAAATGAATAATTTCTTTTGCATAATGTGTAGGATTTAAGTAACTATAAAACCAAAGATCAATTAAGGTACTGAGTATAACCGCTTTTTTGAAAATATGCCCGAATCGTGAAGAAAAAAATATGGAAGGGTCAAAATTGAGTAAATTTTTCAGACTTTTACTATTATTTTCTAAAGAAAGATATCAATTTGAATTTTTTTGCGATTAATATCTAGTTGGACCTCCTTTAGCTTCAATCACGGCAATGCAGCGGCTTCTCATCGAGTTGACGAGCGTTGTTGTTACTTCCGGTGGAGTAGTTTCCCATACTTCGGAAAGCCGCCTTTTTACCTCGTTTTTGTTCGAAATAGGCGTTTTTCGAATTTCCCGCTCAATGTGATCGCAGAGGTGCTCAATTGGATTCAAATCGGGACTTTGTGGTGGCCAGTCCAGCACCGTTATCTTCTGGGTCTTGAAAAACGCCCAAGTCGACTTAGCGGTGTGCTTGGGATCCTTATCTTGTTGGAAGATAAAACGCCTGCCAAGTTTCAGTTTTGCTGCCGAACTTTTGACATTCCTGTCGATTATGCCCTGGTAAACATGTTGATTCATGGTCGTTTCGACAAATTCCATTTTTCCAGGACCTGAAGAGCTGAAACAACCCCACACCATGGCGCTTCCTCCACCATGCTTGACAGTGGGGTTCAAATTCTTCATTTTCAGAGCTTCCTTTTTCTTCCTCCACACTTTGATCCGACCATCCGACCCAAAAATGTTGAATTTGCTTTCGTCGGACCATAAAACTTTGTCCCAGAAAGCTTGGTCCTTGTTGAGATGCTCCTTGGCAAACTTCAGTCGTTTCTTCATGTTCGTCTTGGAAATGAAGGGCTTTCTCTTCGCTCGAAAATTTTTGTATCCATTCGAATTTAGGATTCTTCTGATAGTCTTAGGACTGGTCTTCTTTCCTGTGGCAGTTTCAGTAGCATTCGAAATATCCACGGCGCTGGATCTCGGATTTATTTTCACAAACTTCACGATTGAACGTTTCTCTCGGTCCGTGAAAGTCTGCTTTCTTCCCCTACCTGCCTTGTTGGCAATGCTGTTTGACTTTTTATAGCGGTCAATGATCTTCCAAACAGTTGTGTACTTGATTTTTAAAATTTCTGATATTTCTTTTAAAGTTTTTGACCCATTTTCGTCTCCTTCCCATGCGTCAATGATGCGCGCCCTTTCTGCCACCGTGGTCTCAGTCCTGACCTTTGACATCCTAATTGGAAGAATAAAAATGTTCACAAGTTGTATCTACACCATAATGACCATACTTGATAGAAAGATTTGCTTACCTTATCAAGTTATAACGACAAAATTAAAAAATCTACTCAATTTTGTCTATCCCGTATTTTTTTCTTTACAAATCGCGCATTTTTTCAAGACAGGATATATACCCATTACATGTATTTATGTTTGACTTCGTAGCTGATTAAATTCTACACATTATGCAAAAACAATTATTCATTTCCATCCATTAGTTTTTGAGATTTCCATGTTTGAATGAAATCATTCTTCCAATTTACTCAATATTGTCCCCTAGTGTATGTATGTGCACATGTATGTACGGTCACCGGATGATTTCAGGTTAGGTTACTCTGGCCGAAAATGAAATGCAAATCGTTCGAATTCGCATTTGTAATGGTTGACTGACAAGGCTTTCCTATTTTTGGATGACATGTGGGTCACATCCAACTATTCCAACGTACGTACGTATGATACCTATTCTTATGGAGATTACGTAATTGTGCATTTACGCATTTTTCAGAGCAAACCCTGTTTCTTGTGAAAAATTGGGTAATTTAGTTGGCTTTTAACGGAGTCAATGCAGCTTCCACCATGTACTCGGGATACGGATTGGATTGAACGGATTCATGGAAGAGCCCATACAAACAAGAGTAGTTATGAAGAATGGAGGAGCCGAGTTGGAGAAAGCAGCAGCAGGTAAATTCTCATGTTTTTGCAAAGGATTATACATTACGTAATGCATTGTCGATGCTGGAGTTGTGTTCTGGTGACATGGTTTGGTTTCCGACCACCGGATTTAGCATCATAGTCAGAATCAATTTATGGCAATTGTTAAGAAACTGGATGTCAGTAATTCACCGAACCAAGAAGGAATATTGACAGCCCATTTGTCTCTCCAAGTCCAGAGAGTCTCAACTCAACCCTCATTCAGCTTAGGCTCCTTAATGGGGGAAAGTGTGATAAAGAGCAAATTCTAAAAACCGAGTACTCAACTTTTTATCCTGACAAATGCTCTCAGACTTTCACACATACGAACACACACACACGCTCACTCACGCAGCAACGACGCGCACTCTTCCATTCGCACATTGGACACAACTCTCTCTCGCTGTCTCTCTCGAAAGGAAAGTCTAACCACAAACGCACACACAAATTTGTGATTTATGGGTGTAGAATTATCCAGGTAAAATTGGATGACTTTTGCTGTTTTTTTTCATTTCTTCCTTTTTGATAATTTCTAACTGTTATGTAAATTACGAATCCGTCCGTCCTGTAGGCACATTTGGAAGTAAAAATATACAGATCTACTTAAAAATTGCCAATTCATTTCACATCTAGCAGGTGAAAGCCAGCCCTAAATGCTATTTTATTCTATGCTGTCAGTAATATTGGCTTGGTGGCAAGGTGAGCGTGGAAAAAGTCGAAAGTCTAAGCACATAAAGGAATACTCGATTCCACAGTTGTAGAATTTGATGTAAT